TAGTAAGAGAAATCATATCAAGAAATTGGTAAATAGGTTTTCTAGGTCTAAGTAAATGTTTAGAAACTATAGCTAATGTTTTTCAGTAGTTATAGTGGTGCTTTCATCTAACATTATATTCAAACTTTTAGATGCATACAATTCTTTAAAAGTTGATTGTTCAATTACACATCCAATTGCTTCAATAAATCCATGAGCTGCTTTATCATTTGTATAGCTAGCATATGGTGCCCACAAGTTATTATTATTTAGAAGCTAATCATTTGTAAAAGATAATATACTAGACCCAACACTAAATTTATCTTGATAACTATTATATTAGATTTTTATCAATTTGCACAAATCCTCATATATCCTTATTGCTAAATTATGTTTGATTAAAAAATATACATTTCGCATATTATGTATAATTTGTTGTTTATCTATTTTAGCTTGAATTACAAAAGAAGTTCGGATATCTGCTTGAGCTTCTATTAATCAAGCTGCAATAATAGACTGGTGATCTTTGTTATTAATATATCGAGTTAGAGATTGTAATTTAAAATATGCACAACCAGAGATAAAACTGTTCTGTTTGTCTGCTTCTTAACACCAACAGCAAAACATAAGATTTGCTTGAGCATTTACTCCACGATATATCATAGAAATTTTTTTGGCTAGCTTAAATCCCATTTTAAGGATTCTTTAGACAAATGTAGTACTTTAAGATTGTGAGGTGAAGACTTTAGTTAATTGGTTGGTAAGGATTTTAGTGTAGAGTTTTTTGATATATTCTATGAGGCTAATAAAGCGGGTGTTATTAAGATTGCCATCGAAGTGGGGTTTTTTTGATATAGGATAGATTCTACCATTTTTCTATTGTTTAGGTATGTTTTGTGTTATGAGACATCGATTGAGCAATTTAGTAATTGCAGTTAACATATTAGATCCTGTATGTTTGATCATCTCATAACTAATTCCAGATGGCCCACAGGCTTTATTGTTTGGAAGTTGTTGTATAGTTT